TTTAGGTTTCATTTCACAATAGATTCAAAGTTTTAAAACATATATTGAGGCATAAAAATTGTAGATTTTATTTCTTCTAACCCCTTTAGCTACTTTAAACTTGTTTTTTAGGTCAAACAGCTTTAAAAAGATGTGTCTTTACTAAAAGACATCCTCCCAAAGTTCTCTCTTTCTCTCTTCTCGCATCCTTCTCTCTCTCCATCTTTTCCATTTTTAACTCCTCACTCTCTCTCCATATTTCCCATCTCTCTCCTTTCACTCTCTCTCCTCCCAAACATCTTTCTCTCTTCCCTCACTCTCTCTCCTCCCAAACATCTTTCTCTCTCTATCTTTCCCATTTTTAACCCACCCATTTCTAACCCCTCACTCTCTCTTCTTGCTCTCTCTCTTCATGTTTCCCATCTCTCTCCCCTCACTCTCTCCTCCCAAATACAGTAAGTATACATAAAGAAAGAGGGATGTTTGGATAAACACCTCGCTCTCGTTCCAAATATAGTACCTCTCCCATTGGTCTTCTCTCACTCTCTCTACTTCCAAATATAATACCTCTCCCATCTCTCTCCCCTCACTCTCTCCTTCCAAATATAGTAAGTAATATAGTACCTTTCCCATCTTTCTCCCCTTACTCTCTCTCCTTCCAAATATAGTAAGTATACATCTCCTTTCAAATATAGTAAGTAATATAGTACCTTTCCTATCTCTCTCCTTTCCAAATATAGTAAGCAATATAATACCTTTCTTATCTCTTTCCTTTCCAAATATAGTAAGTATATAGAGAAAAAGAGAGGTGTTTGGATAAACACAACGATAGAGACATGTTGGGTGACCCCTCCCACATACTTAATCTATCGTTCCGGATATAGTACCTCTCCTATCTCTCTCCCCTCACTCTCTCTTTCCTAGGTGGCTCCTCCCATATACTTACTCTCTCCTTTCAAATATAGTACGTCTCCCATCTCTCTCCCCTCGCTCTCTCTCCTTCCCAATATAATAAGTATACGGAGAGAAAGAGGGGTGTTTATCACGACGACATAGAGATGTTGGGTGGTTCCTCCAAATACATATACAGAGAACAACATAGAGGTATATAAAAGAAAAAGGGGAATACATATACAAAGAACAACAGAGAGTTATATAAAGGAAAAGGGGGAATACATATACAGTGAACAATAGAGAGGTATATATAGGAAAAGGGGGGTGTTTAGATAAACACGACAAAGGTATTTGGTAGTGAGAGGTTATCGGAGGAGAGAGAGGTGTTTGGATAAACACAAGAAATGTATTTGGTAATGAGAGGTTATCGGGAGGAGAGATAGGTGTTTGGATAAACACAAGAAGAAAAGTTTGGGGTATATAAATGAAAAGCGAGAAAAATATTGGGTTTAGAAAGAGCATATCTTGCTCACATTTATTTAGGTTAAAAAATAAGTTTATAGCAGTAGCCAAGGGGTTGGAAGATATTTTTTGAAACCTTGGCTTTATTAAAAAATAAAATATAAAAATAGAGATATGGAGATATTTTTCATTTTTTAATGGTGCGTTGTTTGTATAACGTGTCACAATTCAAGTAAGGTGCACCTCCAAAACTCGTCTAAAGATGTAATTTTGGTTTAAAAAATCTTGACTTAAAAATCTACTTTACATCTAATTACAATATTTAAAATAAAAAAAAATCATACAGATCGAGTAGATCTACAAACACCTGAATATCTTAATAATGGACAGTCTAAATAATATGTTACGAGATGTAGTATTTTAGGACTTCAATATTTTTTTTTTCTACATCTATACATGAGGTCGAGATATTCAATTTGAGGGTCTTTCGACATGGAAATAACCTTTTTCGATGGATTTTTTAGGCATATCTTTTTTTTTTCTTCTACAGTCTAAGGTTGCAACCTTATATCAACTTTTCCTTTTTAATATGCATGTGTAATTTCTTGGGTAGGTAAGTTTTTTTTTGTTTTTTTTGCTTTCCAGTTTTAAAGCCTCAAAGATTTAAAAATAAAAACAACCTTACGACGAAATCCATGCAATTTAACCGCAATGACTGAAATCTTTGAACTCCTAACGGAACCGTCATTTTAGACCGATCAAGCAAGCAATCCTCGACGTTATGTGGCGTTATGTCTGCCGCGTGTGGAGTGACCGCCTACGCCGGTCACTAGCCGGTACCAATGGCTGGACAGGTTGCAGTTGACCTCTATAAACATGAGTTTTTTACCGACTATTTATGGAAAATGATTTACACGTGTCAGTTGACTGACGGTTGCCCTTTATTCTCACTCTAAAAATAAACGGTAGGTTGCATACGCGTGTACAACTATTTGTCCCCATCGTCAAGGCCTCCCCCAATTTTGTCCTTATCCTCAAAGGCTTCCCCAATTAGTAAATGACAGGTAAGTCCATCAGGGGGCAAAATATCTCATATTTCGTTTCTATGCGGCCGAGCCCCAATATGTAGAAATGCGGGCTTATTAATAAATTTATTTTTGATATAGATTTTTTGACTTAATTTTTAAGTACATGTAATATCTAATATGGAGATCATGAGTATGAAAAAATAAGTAATTTTGAAAGACTAAAAATAATAAATCTAATAAAAAAACAATTGGAATGGTAATTATCATTATTGTTAGATGCGACACCCACTTGAATCAATCTTTACGATTGATGTTTTACACTTTCTGAAACGATTTTTCATAATTTTAATGGACTAATAAGGAATTTGAATTTGTTTTATTTTAATATTTATTTAGCTTTCTATTTATGGATCAAAAGTTGAATAGAAGTGTGTCACTGTAACATTTATTGAATTACCTGGGAGGAGCACTTAATTTTTGGTACTATAATAGTGGTGGTCCTTCAGGATTTATTGAATTACCAAAGAGGGATATTTCCCTTCCTCTCTATTGGAAGCAATTGTGAGTGCATTGTCAACTCCTTTTCTAAAATGAGGACAAGCATGTGCTCATGCTTTTTGACAAATCGGTACTCTATTGGTCTATAATTTTGGCATTTTGCACCTACACTATGCTTACGAGGAGGCACACTGTTTGCTTAGTCCTTCCTATGAAAATGGACTTAGAATAAATTTTAGAGCTTAAATTATGGGATCCGCCTAAAAATCACTAGATGGTTTTTACAAGAATAATTGAATTTTGATCCAAAATTAGACGGTCTACATTCAGCTTTAGGATGATGGTTCTTTTTAAGCTTGTGTATAGAAATTTTTTTTTTTTCTTATGAAAATTGGTGGCCATGTCGAAGATGATACACCCCAAAAGTTTGAGTCCTAAAACTATCCCTATATTGAGGTTGAGCGAGCGGGTCCAAATTGTCTGTATGCTCAAGAGGGAGCATGAATCCTTCAAGTCATTTGAAGTAGAAGTATATTCGTGACTTTTTATTCCTTTTGGGTATTATTGTCTTTACTCATTTAAGTATGGACTTAAGGACAATATATGGTGTTGTCCTTGGGTGGAATGTACATTTTATTTGGCCTTTCTCTAGAAGTATAAAAAGTAGGACACCGAAACTGCCCATTCGTTGGGGAAAAGCACCAAAGCAATTTTGCCGTATTAGAGGATCACATGGGCCCCACTAGTTCCAAATTTTTTGGAAAATGCCCGAAGTACCCCTTTGTTGATATCATTATTTTAGCATTCTTTTTTCACTATTTTAGTATTTTGTGCACACTTTTTTAATCATTTCAAATCCATTAAAATGTTAATTGATAACATTTGCTCGTTCATATTACTTCAAAATCACCATAAATAAGAAAAAAATCTCTAGGCCAATGGAACTAAAAATTTATATTTTCCAAGCATTTACAGTCTTAATATTTCTCTAGCAATTAAATATAAAAAGGAAACCGCCCCATTTGAATCTATCTGTATAAGCCACCCCATTGAAATTGCCACCCCATTAAAATTAGTCACGGCAGATTGAATATTGGTTTTTAGTTAGTCTTCGATCAAATTTAATTTTTTTTAACTTTTTTTTCAAACTATACTAGCCAAGGCACTAATAAATGATATGACAAGTTTAGTTATTACAAATTTAAAGGTTTTTTTCGATCAAATTCAATTTCATTTATCTTTTGTTTTAAACTAGATTAGTCAAATCACTAACAAACAATTCGACAGGTTGGCCATCCATTCCTCTCATGATGGTCAAGTGCACCTTATTATTACACTCATTACATGTAAAATAAGCAAATAATCCATAATTTTTCATTTCTTAAACAAATTAAAAAAATTTGTGAAATCCTTTTCCTTGATAGTCTTTTGCCAAAAAGTACTTGAATATAATTTTTCCCCTACGTTATATGTGACGCGTAAATAGGCTGGAGTTTGGCTGGATTTTGACTTCTAAGCCCCCCAAAAATTTTAAAAAAAATTCAAACTTTCATTTTATTGTTTAAAAATTAATTAATTTATTGGAGCCAATCCGTTTTGTGCCCAGCAATGATTGGATACGATTCATTGCCACGTCGGATGGGTCCCACAACCCTCTTTGACGAGTTCCAAAAACGTTGTACGAGCTGCGATGCCGTCTAGATGCTGACTAGGAAATATTTTTTGCTTGATTTATTTGTTTTATTGTTTATTTTTCCACTTAATTCCACACGAGGACTCTTTGAACCTATAAATACCCTCCCATTTTACGACGTCTACATCCAAAATCCTCAACTCACTCATATTCTGTTGCTCATTGTGTGTCTCTGGTTTTTTCTCTGGTAATTTTTTATATTATTATTGCATTTATTTCCATTATTTCATTTTTTTAATAGAAGAAGTTTTATCTCTCTCTATCTAAAAATCTGCCCCATATTTTTCTCTCTATATCTGTTTATCCAATTTGTCACTCAAGAGTGGAGAGCTGATTTTCCTTTTTTAACATTTTTAAAAAAATAGGGGACAGCTGATTTTTTTTATTGTTCTATTTTTGGGCTTAAAAATCTGATTTTTTTATTTTTTATTTTTCTCTTCGAAAAGGGAATGACGATCAAGGTTCCCATTGATCACGAAGAGCATCAAACCTGTAAGTTCAATGAATTATTCTTCTTCTTCTTTTATTTATTTTTTAATGTTAAGTTCAATGAATTCGATTTTCATTTTAGTTTTATTTTTATCGGTGTTAAAACTTTAGTTCTCTCATTGTTTATTGCAATATGACAGCTGTTTTCGATGAGGAGAAGAAGGAATTAATATTAGATGGATTTGTGGCCCCTGATATGAATACCTTTGGCCATTCATTTAGGTATTATTATTTTCAGCCATTTACTTCAAAGTCCCTTTTTTTTTAATCTATATTCTTTTTTTCGCAAAAAAAATATATTTTTCATATTTTTTAGGTAGTTCAGTAATAAGAATCGAATTTGAGATGTAGCGTTGTTAGCTGATAATCACTCAAGAAATAAGATACATTTTTTTTTATTTAGATGATGTGAAGATATTGTCATACATTATAAATGCACAAAAAAACTTTGTTGATTTAGAATTTAAGATTAGTGTGGTGGGAACCACAAATGGAGGCTGCTTCTCTTTTTAGCAAACCCCATTTTTAGAGAGAGAGAGAGAGAGGGGCGGGGGGAAGACAATGAGATAGTGAGATTAGATCTAAACTTAGAGAGAGAATGGGTCAAAACCTAGAGAGAGAAAAAAGTGTAAAACTAAACCTAGAGAGAGAATGGAACAAATCTTAGAGAGAAAAAGGGTATAGAACCAAACCTAGAGAGAGAAAGTAGATCTAAAGCTAACATGAGTAAGTTTACAGGGACTATGACGCAGACAGCGAAAGGAAGAGATCTGTTGAACAATTCTATAAACTGAGCCATATTTATCAAACCTATGAATTTGTAAGTTTCAATCTAACTTTTTTTTATTATTATAATGTGAAAATATATTTTTTTAGTGAGAGAAAATGTGTATTTTTTTTTTTTTTTTTGTGAAATCTAATTTGAAATGCATGAATTGTAGGTGCAAAGGATGAGAAAGGAATATGGGAGTTTGAACAGGGTAGAAATGAGCATTTGGGAATGTTGTGAGCTGTTGAATGAGTTTGTAGATGAGAGCGACCCGGACCTTGATGAGCCCCAAATTGAACACCTGTTGCAAACTGCTGAAGCCATCAGGAGAGATTATCCTGATGAGGATTGGCTGCATTTGACCGGCCTTATCCATGGTAATAAAAAAAAAACTCTCTCTCTCTCTCTCTCTCTCTCGGCCGGTTCAATTCAACCGAACCGGTCTGATATTGGCCTGTTTTGGTGTTTCGCTTTGATATTTTTTAAAGAATTATATAAAATCTTGAAAAATAAAAGATTTGTTTATAATGTGTTTTTTTAATGTTTTTTATCCAGATTTTGGAAAGTATTTTGGTTATTAATATTTATTTTTATATTTTTCTATTTTTTAAAAAGATTTCAAAAGTACTACTCGATACAAATCGATTTTTTAAAATTTATTTTTCGCTAGTTTTCAACAAGATTTCAAAAGTACTACTCGATACAAATCGATTTTGTAAAATTTATTTTTCGCTAGTTTTCAACATTAATCATGCTTTAAATGTATTTTTCATATTTTTAGATTGCTTTTGCAATTTTAAAAAACCGGGTAAGGGCCGGGGTTCAACTCGTCGCCGAACTAATTCCTTTTCTCTTGTTACTATCTATGTAGATTTAGGAAAGGTTCTTCTTCATCCAAGCTTTGGGGCACTTCCTCAATGGGCTGTAGTAGGGGACACATTCCCTGTAGGATGCCGCTTTGATGAATCCAATATCCATTACAAGGTATTATTATATTAAATACCTCATTAATTAGGGATATGATATAATGTACCCTATCAAGGCTCGCCTTTTCCTCGGGCCAAGTTGCTGGACCCTGGTCCAGGCTTCGGGCCACAACCCCTTGTTTTTTAGGGCACCCCGGCCTATTGCCAGCCTTGCGGCTTTTGTTTCATTAAAGTGCTACATTCCTCTGCCCTTGTAATAACCCTTTCTTCTTCTTTTTTTTTTTTTTATTTTTTTTATTTTTTTTCATCTATTAGTATTTCAAGGACAACCCTGACTTCAACAACCAAAAATACAACACCGAGTTTGGAGTCTATACAGAAGGGTGCGGACTTAATAATGTGCTTATGTCTTGGGGCCATGATGACTACATGTATTTGGTAAGCTTAGTTGACCTTTTCCTCGGTGACTTTTTCCTCATGATTTTGAATTTTGTTGATTTTTAAGGCTTTAGGATGGTTGCTATTTCCATAGTTTTAGTATGATTGTTTAGATTCAATGCCATTAGTTAAAGGGTGCTGTTTGTATAGAGCTTAGGCTCTAAACAATCAACTTAGAGCCTACCTTCAAATAGTATGCGAGAAATGTGGTTTCAGTATTGGAAATCTTGACGATACCTTTAAAATATATTTTCATCTTTATTTATAAAGTTCAAAGCTTCAAAAGTAGTGTTGATCAAAATATTTATGAAAACTTGAAAATCTTGAAAATTGACGGTCCAAAAATACGTTACAAAATACACTATTTCCAAAACTCGAAATCCAATTTTTTCTCATGTCCATGTATCTTGATGTCAAGATGATCAATTTGAGGATATTTAAGCATCAAAACAATCTCTTCTAGTGAAATTTTTGAGGTAAGTTCAAATTTGATTGTTTAGAGCCTTGGCTCTATATAAACTTTTCCCTTTGTTAAATAGGGGTTTTATGTTTTAACTTGGGTTCGATCTTCTATTATTAGGTATCGACTTGGTATAAATCATGTATTATTAAGTGGACATTGGATAAAATTAGATTAGAAACTATTAATAAAAGGATCCGGTTTCTATGTGGCCAAAAGCCCGCATGTTTAGAAATGCAGGCCTCTTAATAAATCTATTTTTGAGATGCATTTTAAGACTTAATTTTAAGGTCATGTAATCTCTAACATGGAGATCATGAATATGAATAAATAAATAAATTTTAGAAATAATAATTCTAGTAAGAAAATATTTGAATTGTTTGTTTCCATTGTATTTAGATGGAACACCTACTCATCCATCTTTGAGATGGATGCTTTACACTTTTTGGACTGCATATGTAGAAATGCATACAAGCCTGCATGAAACAATTCTAGGGTTTTATAATTTAACTTGGGTTAAATTTTGTATTATTAAATGGCCATTGGATAAAAATAGATTCGTTAAATGGGGTTTTGTGTTTTTATCTTGGGATAGATCATGTATTATTGGGTGCCACTTGCTAAAATTAGGTTAAATATTGTTAGTTTAATAGGGGTTTTGTGTTTTAACTTGGGATAAATCATGTGTTATTAGGTGGCCAAGGAAAACAAGACAACTTTGCCTGATGCTGCTCTCTTTATCATTAGATACCATTCTTTCTACCGTGAGTATATTCTTTGCTTTTTAACTTTTCATTTAAATCTACAAATTCCGTTCCGTGTTAATTTTTCATATTTTTGTTGATTTTAGTAAGCTCTTTTACTTATCTATTTGTTTCCTCTTATATTCTATCTCATGTAGCACTACATAAAGCTGGGGCTTACAAATACTTTATGAATGAGAAGGATCATGAAGGCCTTAAATGGCTCCAAGTGTTCAAGTAAGCTCCTATTTCTTCTTTATTACCAAGTAAATATCATTCTTTTCCTATTTCTTCTTTATTACCAAGTAAATATCATTCTTTTCCTTTTCTTTTTACATTTTTTGGTTGGATGCATAAGCTAGTCTTCCAACATTGGGTGATAATATGATGCAGCTTTTAAGCACTAATCAAGGGGACGAAACCCTTTTGAAAAAAAATCATAAGTTTTCATATTTATCAAATTTTGACTTTAGGTGTTTCCAAACCCAGATTTACTTTAAAAGGGAAAAGGGAAAGAATGAATTTCTACTTCTAATAAACTTGTACCTTACTTTAGGGTTAGCAATGGGCTGGGCGGCTCGGCCCTAACAACAAGGGCTTGTGCCACAAGATGAGGCACGCGAGCCCTACTGGGCCAGGGCCACAACAAGGTCGGCCCAGTTTGGCCCAACCTGGCCCTTCTTTTTTTTTTTTCTAATTTTTTTCTAAGTTTAGGTTTGGCCCAACCCTATAAGGACCAATGCCCCATAGGGTGAGGGCCTCTTTGGCTTAGTCAGGGCCTAGGGCCAAGGATGGTCTGGACCGTTGCCAATCCTACTTCTTAAAAACAACTATTCAATAAATGTCGGCAAAATATTAAAATTAATTAACATAAAATCCAAACTTTTGTCCTTTTTCATAAATTTTTTCCCTAAAAAAGTGGTCCTTCCTAGAAATGTACTGGAACCTTGGAGAAAAACATACTAATTTATGCTAATTTCATACTCCTTGATTTTGTTGCAGCAAATACGACTTGTACAGCAAAAGCAAAGTCAGAATTGATGTGGAGAAAGTGAAGCCTTACTATATCTCTCTTATTAACAAGGTTAATATTTATCACTCTTAAAATTTCATTTCTTTGTTTCTCTCCATTGATTAAAACCGTACCCATATCTCTATTTTTTAAATATGTTCCATATTTTTCTTTTTTTTGAATTTTTTTTTTAATATGTTCATTTTTACCCTTTTGCAGTACTTCCCAAAAAAGTTGAGATGGTAAAGCATGGGATTGACATCTTTCAATAGAATGGAGAAGTGAAACTTGAAGGCAAAGGGTGCATCTTAGGGGGCTAAGAGATTTTTATTTTCTTATCCATCGCTTTTTTGTCATCAATATAAAGAAGGATGTCTCTTGCGTCAATTAATAATTATGGTAATGAGTACAAGTTAGGGTTCTTGTGTATGGGGTTGGTGGGAAGCTTATTCCCTATATATGAACTCATTGCTGTAAATTGGTGGATCTAAAATAAATGAAATCTCCATTTTGTTTGGTGTGCAATTCTCTCTATTGCCATAAAATATAATTGATGATTTGATGTGCAAGACATTCCCCAGATACGCATATTAATTTACTGAAAACGTTTGCTAAGCAATAAGAAATACTGAAAATTATATTATCAAGAAAATGCAGATACCCATATTAATTTGCTGAAAACGTTTGCTGAGCAATAAAAAATCCTGAAAAATTATATTATCAAGAAAATGCTACACCCTTTAATTTAAGAGAAATACATAGTGTTTTAATAGTACACGCTTAATTGAAAAGGCATAATGGGAAGATTCTCAACTGCTATGAGAGTTACAAGTATGATCCTGAGGTATATTCCTGCCGCTCGATTACAATTTAATAATTGTTTATCCAAAAAAATCATGTTAGTCAAATAACGTGCGTTGATTAATAGGAAAGGACATGCAGTTCGGTAAAAAAAACTAACTCCAAAACTATTTGAAAAAAGAAGCAAGGGTTTGTCTTCCCCACTAGATTACCCAAAAAAAAAAAAACCTATGAAGATGGTGGATATGAAAGACACACAAAATAGACCCAACACAAAATGGTCTATCTTAAAAAACCTATGAAGATGGTGGATATGAAAGAAACACAAAATAGACCCAAGACAAAATGGTCAATCTTCCAAATGTTTTCTAAATCATTTTGAGTCCTCTTGGATCCAGATCTGCACAGTATATGGAGCTTCAAATCCAATAGTCAGAAATAAAATTAGATTTGAAAGCCATCATAGGGTTTGTTTTCTGAATCATTCATTTTGAGTCCTCTTGGATCCAGATCTGCACAGTATATGGAGCTTCAAATCCAATAGTAAGAAATAAAATTAGATTTGAAGGCCATCATAGGGTTTCTACTATGGAATTACATTTTCCCACATTTATTAATGGGTGCGGTTTCTATAAGGATGCAACCTTAAACAATCCAATTAAGGTGCACCTTAAATTTTTATCGTAACATCTAATTTTGTTATAAATTTTTTTGGTATTATCTTAAAATCTATTTTCATACCTAATTAGAAAATTTTAAATTCTAAAAATGGTTAAAATCAAGTAGATCTATAAATATATGAAAATCTTGAAATGGACGATCTAGATAATGTGTTGCAAGATGCATTATTTTTTAGACTCAAAAACTCTTTTTTCTTTTTTCATATTTATACATCTCAATGTCGAGATGATCGATTAGAGGGTTTATTCAACATTAAAACAACATTTCCGATCGATTTTTGATGTGCATCTGTGATTGTACATTTTAAGGTTGCAACCTTATATAAACTTTTCCCTTTATTAATTGGAAAAAAATTATATAATGCACGAGTTAGGAGCATCTCAAAAACCCACTAGAGAAAGTTGTTACTATGCTGGAAAACCCTCAAATTGAGCATCTCAACCTCGAGATTCATAGACATGAAAAAAAAAGAGATTCCTAGTCCTAAAAATAGTTCATCTTCTAACCCATTATGTGGACATCCATTTTTATGATTTTTTAGTATACATAAATTTGCTTGATCATCACCATTTTTAAAACTTTAATTTTCATAACTGGGGGCAACAATAGATTTTCATATTATCGCAAGACTCTACACTTCGAAACTGCATTGTCGGCATAGCTTTGAGGTACATCTTCTTCAAAAATATATAGTCTACACCTTATACAAACCTCACCCAACCACTGGACCGAAGTCATGCTCTTAACAAGGGTATTTTTGGGTAAGTCAATTACACCCATTGAGACCAGCTGAAATAATGACATTTTAGATGCCCACGATTAGAACTCACCTCAAAACAAAGCCTAGGCTCTAAAAAATCAAATTAGAGCCCACCTCAAAATTTCATTAGAAGAGGTTGTTTTGATGCTTAAGTATCCTCAAATTGATCATCTCGACATCAAGATGTATGGTCATGAGAAAAAAATGGATTTCAAGTTTTGAAAGTAGTACATCTTGTTTTGTATTTTGGACCATCAATTTTTAATATTTTCATAGATTTGCTCGATCTACACTATTTTTTAAGCTTTAAATTTTATAATTAGAGATAAAAATATATTTTATTTCTATCAGAAAAATTTTTAATATTTATTTTTTTGACAAATATTCTTTATTTTATTTATAAAATCTACTTAAAAGAAATTACATCATAGGAGATAGCTAGAGCGGACAAAGAGGCCCCCTTTTTGCCAGAAAGTCAGCCAAAGAATTTGTCTCGCGAAAGACATGACAAAAAGAAATTGAAAGTGGAGCTACCAGATCTATAATCTGCAACTAGCTAGATCTTAGTTCCCATAGAATACGCTCCTCCTTCTTGCACCAGTAATTGCATTCATTGAATCTCCTTCAATAATGCAGTTATTCCGGATGTTTCTAGATCTAAAAAAATTTCCACACCCTTCCGAAAAACCACATTTCTAGACACTATTTGAAGGTGGGCTTTACGTTGATTGTTCATTTCCAATATTGAAACCACATTTCTCGACACTATTTGAAAGTGGGGCTTTACTTTGATTGTTTAGAGCCTCGGCTATATGTCCATACCCTTCTTCATAAAACCGCACCCTTCCAAAAAAAACCTATATGTCCATACCCTTTCTTCGCTTACTATAATTTTTTTTCGAAAGTACCCTTCATATTTTTATTGGAACGGTGATTATCCAATGCCGACGCCTCAGGTTGTTTTGTAGACCATCATGGTACTAATAGTATCGTGATGGTTCAATGTTCGTTTTTAAGACCATCAGGGACTATCACGGTTTATTAGTTATGGTCCAAAGAACCTTGAATCAGCACGGCTAGTAAAACCACCACGAATGTTGGACGCTGGAACATTACGGTTTGGGTAGAGCATTTTTGGTAAAATAGGGTAGAAAGTTAATGAAGGGTATGGGTTTCAAATAGAATACTAGTAATTTAAAAATAAAAAAAGGAAAAAAGGATTTTTTTTTTTGTCATTACCCTTCAAATATTTGAGTTTTCATATTTTATGCCCCATGTCCTACTTTTTGTATTTTTTTTAGGACCCGGTTTCTATTCGGCCATGCCCGCATATATAGAAATACGGGCCAATTAATAAATCTATATTTGAGATAGATTTTTGGAGTTAATTTTTAAGTAAATGTACTCTCTAGCATGGCGGTCATGAATATGAAAAAACAACTAAATTTTAAAAATTATAAATAATAATTCTAGTAAGAAAATATTTGGACCGTTAGTTTCCATTATTTTTACATGGAGCGCCTACTTGCGTCCATCTTTAAGATGGATACTTTACACTTTTTGGATCGCATATGTAGTCATGCGGTCTAGCCCACATGAGACAATTTTTCTTTTATCCTCTTATGAAAATACTCGCATTTCAGAACTTCAAAGTTCCAGACTGATGTCTTTTTTCTGAGTTATATATTGGGTTGAACTTAGAGCACATTTGGCTCGAGTGAAAATATTTCCCTAGAAATATTTTTATGTAAAAAAATTCCCATGTTTGATTAGGTATGGGAATATTTTCACACCAATTAGCTATCAATTGGTGTGAAAATATTCCCACACCTAATCACATGAAGGAATTCTTTCACGTTCACGCGAAACACACGTCCCTTAAAGTTTTGAATAATAATTTTTTAAAATTAAGTACTTCAGAACTTGAAGTTCCAAACTATTTATTCACTTAAACAATAGATAAACTTGAAGTTTTGAACCAATTTTTATGAGAATTAAGTTGATAAAAAAAACAACTTAATTTCAAAAAAAAAAAACTGGATATTTGTATTTAAAAAGAGCAATCTTTCTAAGGATCCATTTGTATTAAGTTTTTTCTTCATGACCCATTTGTAAATAATGATTTTTCTATGTTTAGGGAGATCAACCAATTTCTAAACTTGATTCTTTCAAATGGAATCACTTTCATCATCCATGGCTTGAATCCACTCCACAAAGTCATGTGAGCTAGTAGCTTTGAGGTTCATCTATTGTACCATTATTCATTAGAGAATAATTGTCTTTTTTTCATAAACACATAAAATTCTTCTAAAGTGTTAAGTGAGACTCTAATTCTTTTAGGTTTATTTGGTTTACTAAGTTCAAATGAATCTTTCTCACCAATTATAGAGGGAGACTAAGCAATAGGATATTCGAAACCCTTATCTTTATCAATTTCGTGTAAGTCAATAGGCTTATTTAAAGTATATTCATCATCTATATTTTTTAAGAAATGATCATCAATTGTAGAGGGAGATTGAGCAATAAGGTCTTAGAGACCCTTATCTTTATCAATTTCGTGTAAGTTAATAGGTTCATTTAAAGTATGGTCATCACCTATACTTTCTAAAAAATGAGCACCACGACTCTCTATTAATAATCTAATATCATGGTTATATAATTTATAACTCTTAGAATTTTCTGAATAACCTATAATGGAGCATTTGATGGTTTTAATTTGTAGTTTATTTATGGTGGTATAAGCATATGTACCAAAGAACCTCAAACTTTCAAGATACTAAAAGTTTGGTTTCCTACTAATTCATAGTTCATAGGGAATTAAGGTCTACGAATTTAGTTGGAACACGATTAATACAGGTGATAAATTTGAATGGCTCATCATAGACCTAACCATGTCCATTAATGTTTTATTTATTCTTTTAACTATACAATTTTATTACGGTGTATACAGCATAGTGGTTTGGAGAACTATATCACGCTCCTTACAAAACTCGATAATTAAGCCGGAGAAATAGTCACCACCCCTATTTGGTCTAAGAATTTTAATATGCCTTCCTAGTTAGTTTTCTACCTCAACTCTATATTCGTTAGATGTTTCTAATGCATCTTATTTTTTACTGATTAGGTATACATATCCATAACAAAAATAATCATCTATGAAACATTTTCGTACCTTTATGTGTTTTGATATTTAAGGGGCCACATATATCTGAGTCTACAATATTAAGAAACTCATTTACACTATTTTTTAGGAAAATGCTTTTTAGTTGATTTACAAAAAATA